TTTCCCCACGTTAGAAAAGGGAACCAAATACGGCAGGGGTTGGAACTGGGTGCGAATTCACACAAAAACTTTCAAAAACAAGCAAATTCCGCCCCCTACAAGCCCCCCCGCATGCCTCCGTGCTCCTCTGGGGCTGGGATCAGGGTGGAAGGTCCATGTAGACACCATAACCAGTTTCCCCATGTTAGAAAAGGGAACCAAATAGGACAGGGGTTCGAACTGGGTGCGAACTCACACAAAAACTTTCAAAAACAAGCAAATTCCGCCCCCTACAAGCCCCCCCTCATGCCTCCGTGCTCCTCTGGGGCTGGGATCAGGGTGGAAGGTCCATGTTGACACCATAACCAGTTTCCCCACGTTAGAAAAGGGAACCAAATACGGCAGGGGTTGGAACTGGGTGCGAATTCACACAAAAACTTTCAAAAACAAGCAAATTCCGCCCCCTACAAGCCCCCCCTCATGCCTCCGTGCTCCTCTGGGGCTGGGATCAGGGTGGAAAGTCCATGTTGACACCATAACCGGTTTCCCCACGTTAGAAAAGGGAACCAAATACGGCAGGGGTTGGAACTGGGTGCGAATTCACACAAAAACTTTCAAAAACAAGCAAATTCCGCCCCCTACAAGCCCCCCCGCATGCCTCCGTGCTCCTCTGGGGCTGGGATCAGGGTGGAAGGTCCATGTAGACACCATAACCAGTTTCCCCACGTTAGAAAAGGGAACCAAATACGGCAGGGGTTGGAACTGGGTGCGAATTCACACAAAAACTTTCAAAAACAAGCAAATTCCGCCCCCTACAAGCCCCCCCTCATGCCTCCGTGCTCCTCTGGGGCTGGGATCAGGGTGGAAAGTCCATGTTGACACCATAACCGGTTTCCCCACGTTAGAAAAGGGAACCAAATACGGCAGGGGTTGGAACTGGGTGCGAATTCACACAAAAACTTTCAAAAACAAGCAAATTCCGCCCCCTACAAGCCCCCCCGCATGCCTCCGTGCTCCTCTGGGGCTGGGATCAGGGTGGAAGGTCCATGTAGACACCATAACCAGTTTCCCCATGTTAGAAAAGGGAACCAAATAGGACAGGGGTTGGAACTGGGTGCGAACTCACACAAAAACTTTCAAAAACAAGCAAATTCCGCCCCCTACAAGCCCCCCCTCATGCCTCCGTGCTCCTCTGGGGCTGGGATCAGGGTGGAAAGTCCATGTTGACACCATAACCGGTTTCCCCACGTTAGAAAAGGGAACCAAATACGGCAGGGGTTGGAACTGGGTGCGAATTCACACAAAAACTTTCAAAAACAAGCAAATTCCGCCCCCTACAAGCCCCCCCGCATGCCTCCGTGCTCCTCTGGGGCTGGGATCAGGGTGGAAGGTCCATGTAGACACCATAACCAGTTTCCCCATGTTAGAAAAGGGAACCAAATAGGACAGGGGTTGGAACTGGGTGCGAACTCACACAAAAACTTTCAAAAACAAGCAAATTCCGCCCCCTACAAGCCCCCCCTCATGCCTCCGTGCTCCTCTGGGGCTGGGATCAGGGTGGAAAGTCCATGTTGACACCATAACCGGTTTCCCCACGTTAGAAAAGGGAACCAAATACGGCAGGGGTTGGAACTGGGTGCGAATTCACACAAAAACTTTCAAAAACAAGCAAATTCCGCCCCCTACAAGCCCCCCCGCATGCCTCCGTGCTCCTCTGGGGCTGGGATCAGGGTGGAAGGTCCATGTAGACACCATAACCAGTTTCCCCATGTTAGAAAAGGGAACCAAATAGGACAGGGGTTGGAACTGGGTGCGAACTCACACAAAAACTTTCAAAAACAAGCAAATTCCGCCCCCTACAAGCCCCCCGCATGCCTCCGTGCTCCTCTGGGGCTGGGATCAGGGTGGAAGGTCCATGTAGACACCATAACCAGTTTCCCCATGTTAGAAAAGGGAACCAAATAGGACAGGGGTTGGAACTGGGTGCGAACTCACACAAAAACTTGCAAAACCAAGCAACCAAAGCCCCCCCGGCATACCTCCGTGCTCGGTTGGGGCCAAAGGTTGGGTGATAGGTCCATGGCAACACCAAATCTACTTTCCCTATGTTAAAAGACGGTGGTTTATATGGGAGGGATTGAAAAAGAGTGCGAATTCAACCTGAAACAAACAAATTCAGCACTAGACAGCCTCTCCCGCATATCTCTGTGCAGCTGTGGGGCTGGGAATTGGGAGGAAGGTCCGTGGCAACTCTCCGCCCAACTGCCCCCGGAAAAGAGCGGAACCAATCACGCAATGACTAAAAAACGAGAGCAGATTAACCTTTAAAACACTCAACACCTGCACCTTAACGTCACCCCAACATACCACCGTCCTCTGTTGGGGCTGGGATTTGGGTGGGAGGTCCATGGCGAGTCCACCCTCGTGTTCCGCACTCCAAGAGACGAACCCCAAATCGACACACCCTGAATCTGAGAGGAAAAGCAGAAAGAGACACAAACCAAAACATGCGAAGACAACAAATCACAAACAAATGTGATCCAACTATGGTAAAATTGGCCAGGGAGGATCCTGGGGAGTCCAACCCTATGATTCCCACGCCACATAACGGAACCAGAAATGGCTCACCTTGAATCTGAGCTAAGAACAACATGGGACACAAAACAAAGCATGCAATGTCAAAAAATCACAACCAAACGTTAACCAAACATATTAGAAGTTTGCTGGGAGGTCCATTACCATAATGGTCATAGGTCACTGGCACAAAAAGAAGGTGGTGCAAAAGTTGGTTTTTGAACCAAGTAGTCTTGGTTCATTAAGGTGGCACTAGGATAGCATACTGGGCCACCCCTGTATCCCAGCTAGTCCCATCACCTGAAAAAGACCCAAAGCCGTCGAATGTGACAAAAGGGAGGGAGGCATGTTAAAAGCACCTAATTCCGATATAAAACGTAATTCAAAACGCGCATTCCACAAAGTCGTACGCAACAACTAACCATTTTCAGGTCACCATTGCATCTCTGGGACTAGGATGCGCATAAAATACAACCACCTCAACCAACTTACAGGTTAGTTCTACGATGCGAACCAGGTACTTGTCTATCCTACCTAGATCCGGGTTTAGGCACTAAAACTATATAGAATGTTTGGAATGCATGTAGAAGGTTTGGAATGTTACGAAGCAACACACTGTTTTGTTGGGTTCAGCAGCCCAACAGCAGCCCATGGAAAGTTGGGTGCACTAGCAAACACTGCCAGCGCCCCAACCGAGCAGCAACACCTTCCAGCAGTACAGCTGGCGTGTATGTTGTAAAATCTACCCGCTGGCGACCGCTGACTGGTTCTAAATTACTTACGAGCACCGCCTTACCTTATCTTCGTTGTGCGATGCGCAGCACAGAGACCTCACCAGGTTGCCGACCAATTGGGCCGGATGGTTGGCCAATAGTGTCGCGTTTTGGTCTCCGCGCGGTCTCCAAACCTCGCGCAAATCCCACCGTCGCTGTAACCAGCACTACCAACGACAGGCTGGGTAAACACCCGCAAAGCTCCCTCGAAACCCAGTAGTTACGATGTCGCACTTCTGTAATGAAATCAGTGACTTTAGGACAAGAACGCGCGGGGAGGTGGGGCTTTTGGCGTTTTTTTTGTGTGTTTAAGTGCCGTTTCGCATTTCTTGCTGGTTTTGGGTAGGCACGAATTACCATTTCGCCCTGCCCCCCTAAATCTCCCTTGTTGCGCGTGTTCACCCCTTCTCGCCGGCCCCCCCCCCCTCCCAGCAGATCAATAGCGCCCATGTCGCGTCGCAAATTCCCCTCTTGTTCCACCAATTGCGCACCCACGTCCCCCCTCCCTGCCCGTCGCAGAAGGGCACCCTCATCCCGCCCTCGGCCAGTCGTACTTGCGCTCATCCACGTCCCGCCTTCCTAGCACACCACGGCTCTTCTTTCTCCCTCCCTTCATCCTCGCGCCCACGTTCCACACCCCCACGGCATCGTCCTTCCCCCTCCCTTTCATCCTTGCGCCCGCATCCACCTCTCCCCCTCACGCCATTGTCCATCCCTCTCCTCGTTTTTTGCCAACCCCCTTTTTCAGAAATGCTCTTGTTGCTGTCTCTAGCATCAACTCTCCCTGGAAAGCTCTCGTCCTAGGGGTCTAGCAGGCCGCATATCAGAGCAGTCCAGCCCATGACGGAGCTCAGGAGAGCGATCCTTCCTTTTCGAGCAGCCAACCCTCTTCCTTCCCACGGTTCTCACAGACCTCGTAGTTCCCCCCGCTATAGCTGGCCGCGTAACTTGGCAGTCCAGCCCATGATTCCCTTTCGAGCCGCCATCCCCCCACCGTCCAAATCGCACGGTCCCTTCAGGCCTCGATACAACGGGGCACCTTTAGTGGGGTCCCACCATGTTCATTACTCCACCGCGTCGGCCACCTTAGTCGCGATCACACGGCGTCACCGTTTAGTGGCGCGCCGACGTGGCGGGGTGAGCATGGTCGTGCTATCGCGTCGGCAGAGATCCGACGTGATGCCAACGTGACCGCGTGTTGTTTGCAGCTGAGAGGCCTTGGCGTCGTCTCCGTTGGGGCTGTCGAGCTGGGTTGCCCGTCGCTCTAAGGATCCTCCGAGATGTTGCTATAAAAGCAGGGCTCGTAATATCCTTATACACATGTCATACCAGCGGCCTTAGCGTGGTCCAGTCACATACCTCTTTACTCCGATCCACCAACAGCCATGTCTCAGCCAGCTCTCTCCGACTCTAGGGTACCCGGTGGCAGTGGAACAACCAAGCGCAAAGTGAAGACGGGACGCAAGCGGGCGTCCCCCAAGAAACCTCGCCAGGATGCCCCGGGTACGGGTGAGGACTGTTTTGCCCAGGACATTCTAGGTGAGGACCTCACAGGGTCGGAAGGCAATGACTCCGCCGGTTTAGAATGGCAAGGCGCGACGACTGCCGTCGGCGAACTCGGCACTGGAGATGCGGGGCCAGCCGATCATGCACCAGAGCATGTGGAGGACAACCTCGGTGGTGAGGAGGCGTTCGAAGAATTGGCAGAGGCGGCCGAGGCTGACGAGGCGAAGGCCGACGATGAAGTGGCAGGAGCTGGGGAGGCGGGAGAGGAAGATGCATACGCGGAACATGATGGCGAAGAGCGGGTAGAGGAAGATGGTGCGGACGAGGATGCCGAGGAGGAGGAGGAGGAGGAAGAAGAGGAGGAGGAGGAAGAGGGGGATGGGGAGGAGGAGGAGGAAAGGGAGGAAGAGGAGGAAGATGAGGAAGAGGAGGAGGAGGAGGAGGAGGAGGAGGAGGAGGAGGAAGAAGAGGAGGAGGAGGAGGGGGATGAGGCGGAAGAAGAGGAGGGAGGGGAGGAGGCAGTCGGGGTGGAGGGCATGCAGGTGGTGGCGGCCAACGACGACTCGGATGCTAGTGCCCACTACCTGCGAAACATGCGGAGCGCGCGAGCGCAGGCGCTGAGTAAGCAGTCTACATGGGACGAGGAGGAGGAGGCCGAGCGCATGCTGAGGAAGGGACGTTTTCTCCAGCTCGGCTCGCTGCACGGGGACCCGCCGGCCAACGAGGCTGCCAAGGCCGGCCAACCAAAGTCCGGCACCCGTGGAGGGGGGGGTAATTGGCGTGCAGGAACCTCTCGGGCGGCGGGGACGGGTGACGGGAGGGCGGCTGGAGTTGGTAGTGCACGGAATGCACGGCCCAAGGCGGTGGGCCGGAGGCCTTTCGCCGAAGCAGCGAAACCGGCCAAGGGAGCAGACAAGGGCAACAAGGCGGGTGAGTGTTTTACGTTTTCTACTCCCTCGGCTTTGTTTACTGTTTTGTCGAGTACCTTTGCCCAAAACCTAAGGCTTGTGCTCCCCCTTATGCCATGTTGCCCCTCTGCACCCTAGCAGCTGTGGCGGATGCCAAGGCTTCTGCAAAAACGCAGAAGCCCAAAAGAGGTCTGTACTAGTTTAGAGGGTTGTCGCTCCACAGCATTGCATCACTAAAATGACCTCGCCTCCTTCCCCTTCCCCCCCGACGCCCCCCATCCATCTCGTCTAACACTAACCCCCTTGCTCCATACCCTACACTCTCAAAAGGATACCCCCTCTACACCCTCCCCGCCCCGCCCCACCCCCCCCCCCCCCCCCCCCCCCCCCCCCAACTCACCCCGCCTGCAGTTGTGTTGAACTCCGGAGTGGGCCCGCCGGACACAATTGAGCACATCCATCTCGCGCCCGGGGGTGGCATGAGGGGGGGTGTCATGAGGCGGGCTGCCACTGTGGGCAGCCCTGCGAACCCCGGCTCTGCGGTGTGGCGCATGACTACTTCTGGAGCAGGAGGTCAACGCACCCCTCCTCCGGGGGCCGGCTCTATGGCTGCGGGTGCGGCACGCGCTGCGTCAGCGGCAGCGGCGGTACTGGCAGCACGACCAGGGGGAGCGGCACGCACAGCGGTGGCGGCGGCGGCGGCGGGGACAGCACGCGCCCCATCAGCAGGAGCGGCACGTATGGCGGCAGCGTCGGCGGCTGATGGTCATGCGCGTTCGGTGTTGGCGGCGGCCCGGACGGCGGCAGCGGCAAGGAGTGGGGCTTCTCAGCAAGGTCCAAGCATGAGGCCCACTGCTACGCCGGCTGCACGGCCCGTCGTACAGGGCGCGGCACAAGCACCGAGGAGCATGACAGCAGTGGCGGCACTCGCGGGTCAGCAGCAATACGCTACGAGAGCCGAGCTCGCAGCGATGAGAGCGGAGATGCTTCTAGTCATTGAGCAGCACGGGGCTGCGTGGGGCACTGTTCCTGCCGGTCCAGTCACGGTCCATGAGCCCGCAGGGGGCCTGCAGGCAGGCGCGGCTCCAAGGCGCTCCCTGGTTAGGGGGGCGGAGCAGATTGCCCTGGAATCTGTCCTTATCGATGCAGGAGACTGGAAGGTATGTGTCCGCTGCACCGTCATAGCACTTCACTCCGCACACACCACCTCTCTCTCTTGCTCAATCCCGGTCTAAACCCTAGTGCCGCACCTCGCTTCACACTCTCCCATGTCTGACAATCTCCCTGTGCCCAACTTATCCTGTGCACGCTACTCGCGAGTTACTTCTTACCATCAGTATTTCATCTTCGTACAATCCTCCATCACTCCCACCAGCCCATCCCCTCATTGCCTGTTACCTCTTACCCTGATACATTTTCACATGTTACCTCTTATGTTGTTATTTTTTGCTCTGTTACCCTTTGCCCTGCTACCTCTTGCCCTGTTACCACACACCATGTTACCTCTTGCCCTGTTACCTCATTCCGTGTTACCTCTTACCATGTTACCCTAAACCCAGTTACTTCTTGCTCTGTTACCTCCTTCCTTGTTACCTCTGACCATGATACATCTTGCCCTGTGACCTCGTGCCCTGTGACCTCTTGCCCTGTGACCTCTTGCCCTGTGACCTCTTGCCCTGTGACCTCTTGCCCTGTGACCTCTTGCCCTGTGACCACTTGCCCGGTGACCTCTTGCCCTGTGACCTCTTGCCCGGTGACCTCTTGCCCTGTGACCTCTTGCCCTATGACCTCTTGCCCTGTGACCTCTTGCCCTGTGACCTCTTGCCCTGTGACCTCTTGCCCGGTGACCTCTTGCCCTGTGACCTCTTGCCCGGTGACCTCTTGCCCTGTGACCTCTTGCCCTATGACCTCTTGCCCTGTGACCTCTTGCCCTGTGACCTCTTGCCCTGTGACCTCTTGCCCGGTGACCTCTTGCCCTGTGACCTCTTGCCCGGTGACCTCTTGCCCTGTGACCTCATACTCTAGTACCTCTTACCCTGTTACTTCGTGCCGTGTTACCTCTTGCCTAAACCTTGTTCCATCTTACCCATCATCCCGCCCCCTCTTTCCCTGTTGTCCTCCTTAATGTTCCACAGGTGAAGTGTCGCACTCTAGTTACCGAGTTCTACTGGCTGAAAGAAGCCTCAAAGATCCAGATGTACCCTGCGACCGTCGAAGTCATTGAAGGTTTCAGCACCTACCTGTCCCCTGACAGCATGCCCCATGTGCAATTGCTCTGGAACCATCAGTGCCCTACCACCAAAGGAGCCTTTCTCACTGCCTGTAGCAACACTCGTTGCTCCATAGGCAAGATCTTTCGTCGCATCGTTCTAACCGCATTGGGCAGTGAGAAGAAGAAGGACAAGGTTAGCCGTCTGCCCAGGGAGCTGGATCGTCCCACCGTCTACGTGAACGATGCAGAGCTTGTCCGCGACAACATGAACGGTGAGTTGCCAAGCAAGCATCCACATGGTAGTATTTGCAGGGCTAGTTCACTAATCACATCTCCTTTATCCAAATGGCTGTTTTGGAGACACAGATGATTGGGGCATGGATTGGCACATGGACAAGCCCACGGAGTGGCCCTTCTCCACCCACTTGTTTGCCATTGCCATGGCCAAGGCCTTCACACGGAGGGGGGTGGACATGGTTTCCTGGAAGTCCCGCATGGTGGCGTTCGCCTTGTTCTCGGTGAGCTGGTCTTTGTGATCCTCAGGTTGCTTATTGTAGTGCGGCCGCTAGCTATTAGAGGCACCCATCCTTATCCCTTGTACCGTTCGTGCTCTCTTTTCTGTATCCTCACATCCCATGTCCACAATGTTCCTCATCTTCCATTCCCATCATCTCAGGGTTCCATGTGCTCTTACCTCGCTTTTCTACCAATCCCTTGTCTAATATCCCAAGTGCTCCCCCTCGTGTGCTGTTCAACAAGATGCTCTTGTCCCAAGTGCTCGTCTCGTCACCCTTTCCGTATTCTCACTCACCCCGCCCAAAACCCACCCTTTCTGTGTAGCTCGAGAACCCCCTCCTTGAGCAGGCCAACGACGGCAAGCTCGGCACCGACCAGAGCCAGAACCGCAAGAAGTACGAGGCGACCTGCGCCAGGGTGCGGCGCTGGGTGGAGCACTCAGTGAACAACCTGGGGGTGCGCTACGACCCCACCACCAACGCCTACCAGTTCGGCTCCGGGGTGCTGATTGACGCTTCCGACTACCCCAGGCTCCCCAGGACTCAAGCCGGTGGAGAGTAAGTCAATGGTGCAGAGAGAGGAGTGGCAGTGGGGAAACGAGAAGCTGCGCGTGGAGCATCAGTGAGGGGCGGGAGGGGGGACCAGAAGCTGGAGGGGCAGAGGCGTACGAGGAAGTGGTAGGAGCTGAGGAGGCGGCACATGTAGCTGAGAAGAGCAGCAGCTTGGGGCACTGGGGGGGAAAAGGATAGAGAGCCAGCCGAGGGGAGCAGCAGAGGGGTGCAGTAAAGAGGAGCAGCAGCGCAGGGAGCAGCAGCAGAGGGGCGGCAACAGCAGACGAAACGGCAGCAGCAGATGGAGCGGCAGCAGCAGGCGGCGCAGCAGCAAAGGGCGCAGCAGCAGAGGGCGCAGTGGCAGAGGGCGCAGCAGCAGAGGGCGCAGCAGCAGAGGGCGCAGTGGCAGAAGGCGCAGTGGCAGAGGGCGCAGTGGCAGGGGGCGCAGTGGCAGGGGGCGCAGTGGCAGGGGGCGCAGTGGCAGAGGGCGCAGTGGCAGAGGGCGCAGTGGCAGGGGGCGCAGTGGCAGAGGGCGCAGTGGCACAGGGAGCAGTGGCACAGGGCGCAGTGGCAAAGGGCGCAGTGGCAGAGGTGGCCGCAGTCCATGGGGTAGAGTTGCAGAGAGCAGCAAATTTGAGGCAGCAGCCAAGGAGCTTCAGCAGCGAGAGTGCAGCATCAGGGGGAGTACCAACAGCAGAGGTAGAGCAGAAGCAGAGGGAGTACCAGCAGCAGAGGTAGAGCAGCAGCAGAGGGAGTACCAGCAGCAGAGGTAGAGCAGCAGTAGAGAGAGTACCAGCAGCAGAGGGAGTACCAGCAGCAGAGGTAGAGCAGCAGCAGAGGGAGTACCAGCAGCAGATGGAGTATCAGCAGCAGAGGTAGAGAAGCAGCAGAGGGAGTATCAGCAGCAGAGGTAGAGAAGCAGCAGAGGGAGTACCAGAGGTACTACCAGCAGGGGTGGGTGCAGAGGCAGAGGGAGTACCAGCTGAGGGAGTGCAGCAGCAGAGGGAGTGGCTGCAGAGGGAGGGGGAAAAGTGAGCGAGTGAAGAGCCCGGATGAGCAGAAGACAGGGAAGCACTGGAGAGTAGGGTGCTGGTGTGGTCAGAGCAGCTGCTGGGTTATTGGTGCAGCAGAGCGTAAAGATGCTGAGACAGTTACGTTTCTATTAGGGATTTTTAGATGATATCATGCTGTAATTGTGCTTAAATAATGACTACTACGATTTCAGCTTAGGAGAAATAAAATAATAGTAAGACGTTATATAACAAAGTACAGGAAATGGTTGTACATTATTTCAATTAATGACCACCATTCCACGTGGTTGGATGCGCAAAGTGCGGGTGACAACAGTGCGAAATCGGGATGTAATACGCTTGAACTCCGCTGGAAATACGGCCCTGAAAACAGGCGCAGTTACGCCTGTTACGCATGAGAAGAACAGGCATGGCAGTGCCATGATTTCAGACGGAAATCGACCCCGGTTTGCAGTCCGTTTTCAGCCTGACGTCCAGAACACAGCCTGTACACAGGCTGATTTCCCGGCCTGTAGTTTGCGATGCCGGTATTGAGCTGTACGTGATCATCTGTTAACCAAACTGCTGCTCCGTCGTTTTACAAGAACTCCGAATCTTTCTCGGCCACCTCGTTTCCCCCAACAGGCGCCATTCTTCGCGTGACACTCCCATAACTCCAGACGCGCATATTGCTCTTCCGCGGGTTTGCGCGGTGGCGCTGCTCCTCGCGGCGGTAGCGGTGACGCCGCTGGGGGAAGTGGCGGAGGCAGCGGATGGCGGAGGTCGCGTGGGGGGGCAGGTGTTTCAGCGGCCGAAGCAGCCGAAGGATCGGAAGCAGGACAGCTCACGGACAGCTCGATCACCAGCTTCTCGGTCGAACAAGTGAGTGGAATGATGCTACTAGTTGATGCGTTCTGCTTCCATTTTCATCTAGTGTCAACATGAATTCCACACAATACGTTTCTCCTTTTTCATTTCCCTCTTCACCACCCGGTGTCGCGGAGTGTTTTGCAGGTTCTTTTCGATCTCAGCTTTGATGACTGCACCCTCTTTGGTGATGATGTGATGAGACTACCACATAGAGTGTTATTTTAGTCAAAATTCTTGAGACTACCACATAGAGTGTTATTTTAGTCAAAATTCTTATATATCACATCTGGCCTGGAAATACAGAGGAGTTTTTTTCCAACAGTATGATCAAGAGTAGTTAGGCAGGAAAACTAGCAGCATCAAGACAGACTAGCTATCAATGAAAGGACAAGCGAATGAACAGCCTTCTAGTATAGACAACCCTCCTATGTACTCCACATATCATCCCCGTTGAAAACCCTCTGCTCATCGACTATTGACTCAGAAGCTATCAGCCCTGCACCATGAGCAACTCCGAGCATGGAGACAACTACTTGGGCATCTTCTTCATAGTTTGGAGGCCGTAGTTGGCTGCAGCGAAGACTGCAGCATGCACCACCACGGACGACGCCGGCACCCTGTTAGGAGCGACATCAACGGGCCCCTTGTCTCCTGGAATTTGCAGCAAGAAGCCCGGAGATAGCGCGATGAACAGAGCCGTGGGCACGAGGAGAGCTGAGGCATTCATGGCTGCAGGAGGAACGAGAGCGAAACAAGCGGATTCACCCGGAGAAACAAGAAATCGCTCTTGAGTTGCAACGATGAAATACCGAGACAAGGGTGAAATAAAAAATCGCTCTTGGGCTCATAGTGGTGCAAACGAGCGACGCGGGGGACAAATACGAGTAATCGAGTCGCGCATGCATGCCGAAGAACCGATGACGGCGGCTTTCGGGGAAAGTCGGGGGACACGTGGACAAATTAGTGAGCAAGAGAAGATCCCATGCACGCGAACTACGTACTGTACTGTATTTCCGTCAGCAGCATTGTCAAGGTTCAGTTCAGACTCGAAGTGGTGTTGGGGGCGTGTCCCCAAAAATCGTTTACCCGTTTTTGACACGCGGAGCCATTTGACAGTACGCAATGTGAATCGATTTTGAAATAGATCCTGATTTGGGAACAGGTCCGAAATGAAGGGTGCAGTTCGAAAGGAGAGCACCGAGACCAGCACATACATAGGAGCGGGTGTTAAAATTATATACGTTATGATTTAATATAGGCTTGGTAGGTTGTTACTGAACCTTTTTGTAGAGGGTACAAACCCCTCCTTGTACTCCTCTCTTTTCCTAATCGACCCTCTTCTTTCTCGGCATTCTCTCCCCCGCTCCTAGATATATTTTCCTCACGCCATTCCATGGCAGCATTCGTTGTATCCTAGCTAAGCTAATGTCCTAACTTTAGGAACCTAGAATCATACGTTTCTAAGATGGTATCAGAGCGGTTCGCTCCTAGCGGGCCTGCTCCTCACGCTTCCGCCGCGTCCTCCTTCGTCAGTTGTTCCTTCTGTGCCGCCGTGGCGGCCATGCCCGTTCCTGTCGTGCTGTCGCGTCGTGACGCGTGGCGTCGATGCCACACTGCTGTAACGGCGCCGTGCATACCGTCGCAGCGTCGACGTCCTGCGACGCCGCGCTGTGGCGGCGTCGTAAGGCTGCCGTGGCGGCGTCGTCGGGCGACAGCCGGCCGCGCAATGTCAGTGGCGCCGCCGGACTTGCCGCCCGCTCTACAGCCACCGGCGTGATTATGGACTACACCCCCCCCCCCCCCCCCTCCTCCTCCTCCTCCCCCTCCTTCCCCTGCATCCCCCTCTTCCTTGCTGCAGCCGACGACTGCCTCATGAGGGCCCTCCCCACCGCCGAGGAGACTGGACATGCCGCCGAGAGGGCGGGGGCCGCTGCACCAGCCTCTGACCTTCAACCCGCCGCCGCCGCCGCTGTTGCCGCGGGCTGGTGCCGCCGCACGCCGCCGCCGCTGTCGTCACTGTCGCTGCTGCCGCCATTGCCATCCCACTTCCGGAGTCGTTGCGGCTCCTGCTGGGAATGGGGGTGCTGGGCTAGGGGGTGTGGGTGTTGGTGTGTGCGTGGGCTTGACACTACCAAGCCTAGGGGGTGTGTTAAAATTATATAAGTTATCATTTAATATAGGCTTGGTAGGTTGTTACTGAACATTTCTGTAGAGGGTACAAACCCCTCATTGTACTCCTCTCTCTTCCTAATCGACCCTCTTCTTTCTCGACATTCTCTCCCCCGCTCCTAGATCTATTTTCCTCACACCATTCCATGGCGGCATTCGTTGTATCCTAGCTAAGCTAGTGTCCTAACTTTAGGAACCTAGACTCCTAAGTTTCTAAGAGCGGGTAACGGGGTCCCGCCATGCGAAACCTGCGCGATGCACGTGTTACAAAATGAGGGCCAATCGGCACAGCGAGGATAGGTTCTTCGCTAGCGACGTGCGAGGCTGCAAAGTGTCGCTAGAGAATTTTGCTAGAGGTGGTCCTGGTACCGTAATCCCCCGGATATAACACCCGCCGAAATTAAGCACCCCTTGATGTTATATCAGGGGAGGGTGTTCTATTGAAGAATCCGCAATTATACACCCTCTTTTTGAGGGTTCCAGGAGAGCACCCCCCCCATTACATTCGAACCCTTCTACCCCTAACAATACCAGCAACAAACGCAGTTTTTTCATGCTATTTCATGCTGATTACGACCAGGACGCAAAAGTTGAAATTTTCTGAGGCACTTGATGAGGTTCTCTGGTACTGAAAATGACAAAGTGAAACAAATCTTTATCATAATTGAGAAGTGAATGATAGATAGAGTGAGAGTACACACAGATATACCCAAGTGTTGTACTCTCTAAGAGGCGACCCTATACAGTCTATACAAACATGACACAACCCCTAGACTGCATAGGGGAATGCCCTAAACAAACAGCTCAGGGCGGCACTACTAGTCCAACCTCTGAGACAAGGGTCTGAGAGACCAGTCAGAAGGAGTACACACAAGGCAAGAACAAGAGCAGGGCGGCACTACTAGTCCAGCCACTGGGAGAGGACACAAGTCCAGTCTGAGTATACGTATAAAGGACAGTACAAAGTCAAGGTCCTAGCAAGTGAGAGGCTACAGGAACTAGACCAAGCTATACACAGTGCCGCTGATGATCTTTAGGCGCAAGCGCCTTCGTAAAGATATCAGCCGTGTTGGCACCTGAGGCCAAGTGTACTACGCGAGCCTGACGTCGCTGCTGTAGCTCACGCAGGAGGAAGTACCGCAGCTGAATGTGCTTTGCTCTGCCCTCGAGTCGAGGCTCCTGACACAGGAGGATCATGGCCCTGTTGTCAGCGAACAGGACCGAGGCAGAGCTAGGCCGCTCACCTAAGTCAGTGAGCAAGAAGGTCAGCCAGCGGAGCTCCTGTGCCGCCATGGCACCAGCGTAGATCTCAGCCTCACAGCTAGACTGCGCAACAGACGAGCAGCGGGTAGCTCTCCACGAGACGGCACCTGAGCCAATGCTAAAGCAGTAGCCCTGGGTAGACCTGAGTGTCTCAGTGTCGTCTGCCCACAAAGCGTCTGTGTGTCCAGTAAGGACCACTGGCCTCCGTCCTCCTAGCACTAACCCCATGCCTGACATACTAGCAAGATAACGCAGAACCCTCTTAGCGGCAGACCAGTGCTGCGGTCGGTGTCTGCCTGTGGCCACAAAGCGAGCCAGGATGCTGAGAGGGTATGCGAGATCTGGGCGAGTGCAAGTCATCAGGTACATGAGGCAACCCACCAGCTCTGCGTAGGGGCCGCTGGGCTCTACCAACTCCTCCGACACTGGAGCGGAGAGTCTGTAGTCTACAGGCAGAGGGGTGGGCTGTGCAGAGGAGAACTGAAGGCTGAACCTCTGAAGGACCTGGCGCACCAAGTGTGACTGAGTCAGGGTGATGGTGCGCGCAGCTCTGTCCCTGGAGATCTGCAAGCCAAGGTAACGGCGCAGTTCACCAAGGTCAGTGCACGTGTGTCTCTTCAGCAGCTCTGCCTTCACGGAGGCCAGTGCGTCCCTGTCAGCTGTGGCAACGACCAGGTCGTCGACGTAAACAAGGATGTAGAACGGAGTCTGGCCAGCACGAACGAAGAGTGAAGGGTCTGCGGAAGACGGAAAGAACTGCAGGTCAGCAAGCGTAGCACGGAGAGTGTCGTGCCACTCACGGGGAGCCTGGCGCAGGCCGTAGATGGGGCGCCGCAGAAGCCACTGGGTCCCAGGAGGGAAGGTGCCAGTGAAGCCCTGAGGGCGCCGCAGGTAGACCTGCTCGTGTAGGCTGCCCTGAAGGAAGGCAGTGGAGAAGTTGAGGGAGTGAAGCTCGTAGTCACGCTGAGCAGCTAGGTGTAACACAACCCGAAGAGTAGTCATCTTCGGGGTCGGAGCGAAGGTCTGGAAGAAGTCCACCCCCTCGCGCTGACTGAAGCCTCTAGCGACATAGCGCACCTTGAAGACAGGCGGCTCTCCAGGAGGGCGCTTCACCTTGAAGAGCCAGCGGCCATCGACTACGTTCACCCCAGGTGGGGGAACTGCGTCGACGAAGGTGCCGGTGGATCTCCAAGATGCCATCTCCTGCTCCATGGCAGCTATCCACTGCGAGGCCCAGGGTCCCGAAGTCGCCTCAGCGTAAGTGCGAGGGGTCGGGATGTCGAAAGCGTCTAGGTCACCCTCAGGGACTAGCAGCATGGAACAGAGATGGGGAGCAGCCTTGGACAGGAAAGCAAGCTCGAACTGGCGGTCCTCAAGGACGTCACTGCCAAGGGCAGGAGCACCCCCGACAGACGGAGGACAGGCAGGGTCAGAGACCAGAGCGGTGGCGTAGTCAAGGCGGCGGGTAGAGGCGAAGTCAGCGACAGCAGCGACAAGAGCGTCAAGGCACGAGACCGGAACAGACGGGTCGGTAACGAGAGAGGCAAGGACCCGAGGAACAAGGGGACGAGCGGCACGAAGGTAGTCAGACAGCGGGGGGGGTGCAACAACAAGGGTGGACGGAGGAGGTGACGGCAGAAGGGGAGGACGAGACGCGTGGGAACGAAGCAACATAGGGTGGGAGCGCAAGACAGGCGAGGCAGGACGAGCGCGGGAGGGACGGTGAGACCAGACGTGCGACAGAGGAGTCGGGTCAGGAGACAGAGGAGGGGACACAGGAGGGCAACGAGGGGGGAGACGGGCCGGGGACGAGTCCGGTGGAGGGAAGACAGGGCCGTAGACAGGAAGAGGAGGAGACGGCCGGGGAGGAACCGACGCAGGGTCGGGGGACGGAAGGCCGAGCAGGCGAAGGGCGGACACCGGCGGGGACTGCTGCTGCGGCGGCACAGCGGCGACACCGGGACTGCAAGCTGCTCCTCGGCTACCACCGGCACTCGCCACACCAGCACCCCCAGAGGGACCACCCCCAGAGTCAGCGAATGGGTGCTGCGACGGCGGCGGCGGCGGCGGCGGCAGTAGCGACAACGACGGCTGCAGCGGCGGCAGAGGCGGTGGAGGGGGGGACAGGGGAGGGGACGCCAGGGGAGGGGCGGCCGGCGAGGACTGAACAGGAGGGCCACCAGAGTCAGAAGACTCCTCAACCGGGTCCACCGACGGAAGGGGGGTGACGTGGGACACACCAGAGGGGGCGGGACGGGGAGGAGGAGGAGGAGGGGCAGGGACTACCGGGGAAGGAGGGACCAGGAACAGGGGGGGAGTAACCGGGGGACCACGGTGGGGGAAGCGACGGTAGTAGGAGACGGACTCGTCAAAGGTGACGTCACGAGAGTGAAAGAAGCGGTGAGACGGCGGGTGGTAAAAGTGCCAGTCGGACGCGTCAAGGGGAAAACCGAGGAAGACGCAGGGAAGGGTACGGGCAGTGAGCTTGTCCGTGCCGGAGGCACGGACATGAGAAAGGC